AAAGGAAGAGAGAGAGAGAGAGAGAGAGAGAGGGTCGAATGAAAATTCATATCTTTGAAAAAAATGTTCATCAAATGAATAGACATTACAGTGAAATATTTTGTTAACTACAAATTGATAAGTGGTAGGAAATATTAAAAACAATTTTTAATGATTTTGTAAAATTTTTTTTATTAATTTTGTTAGGAATTAATATGTTTCAAACCAAAATTTTCATTATCATCCGCTAAGTAAGGCAAAGAAAAATGAAATGGAGCAATATTTCAATAGAGTAAATTTTAGGATAGATAGAATGATAGTGATGAAATATGATAAGACGATTTTTGGCAATATTTCTACTACTATTTTTTGCCAGCGTAAATTATGAAATAATAAGGATGTAATTATGATATGATGAAATTTAAACAGGCATGCTTATCATCATTGTGTGTCAACAAAATGCCAATGCGTTAATGTCCGTCAATTATCACATTAGAAAGATTTTTAACATTTCAAAAATGTTGCTCATTATTTTGTGTATTTTAAGTATTATTATATTACAGATGAAATCCATTTGTAATATATAAAACGAAATTTTGTTAAAATATTTGTTTCCGTTTTAAATTTTAATTTAATTTTTCTTTTTTTTAAGACGATAACAAAGAAAGAACAAAAACTGTAAAACAAGAGAAAAAGATTAGAATTAAAAGAAAAGGAAATGAACAAAGTTTAGAAACGAAAGAAAACTTTTCAACAACTTCAAACAGTTTATTATACAAGCGAAGGTTAGAAGACGAAAGAAAGTAAGCAAGTAAGTATATTTATTTGTTATCCATCATTCATTCATTCATTCATTCATTCATTCATTCCTTTTTTCCTTCCTTTTCTTTTTCTCCTCGTCTCCTTGTCTTTTGATAGTTTTTGATTATTCATCAAAAAAAGAAAATGAAATTTCGCAATGATTTACTGATATTTTTATGTTTTCATTGATATCTTCATGTTTTCTATCCTAAAAATGCCCAAATTGTTTCTAAATTCAATTTCATGCAAATCAGTTTTATTGAATTCTTCCATTCATTAACTCGTTCATTCATCCCTCCATTGCCCTCTAATTTCATCCCTCTTATTTTTTTCATATATCTCATTTCTTGCTATTTTCTTGGCAAAATATTTTCTTTTCCTTTTTTTCTTCATCTTCTTTTTTCCTCACCTTTTAATCGTTTTTTTCTAATATGACAAATTTAAATAAATTTCAAACATTCATTTTAAAAACCTGAAATTTACTTATGATTATTTTGCGAGATTCATAAAGCGGTGGAAAATATAAGGAAAAAGATGGAAAATTCTTTTTATTCATTTGAAAATTTAAAGATGTTGATGAGGTATAAGTAGATTGGACGCAACAATAATGAACTTCAAGGATATGTGAGGTCACATGTGATCAGCTTACAGCAGACATCACATTGATTTATTGGAAATGACGGCTGTGATATTTATTTTTCCCTTCAAGCAATATTTAACAAACCATTTAAAAATTAGAAATTGGGAATATTTAAACTTTGCTAGAATAACATTACAAAAATATTAAACCAGACGTCAATTGGAAATTTGGGAACTTATTGAAATGTACAGTTCTCTTGTAATCGATGGAATTAATATTTAATTATCGCGGAGATTTCGAATGTTCGAAAAATTCAGGAACCGGACGAGTAATTAAATAATATCGAATTCTTCTGTCCAGACCATTTTCACTTCATATTGCATGAAAAAAGAGAAAAAATGCTTAGGAAAACCTGAAATAAAAACCTGAAGTGCATGCAACCAATATGCTTTAACCTTGCAATTGCATGTCAAAAATAATGAATTCACGGTTGAATGATAAAATTCAACTTATTTAATGCTTAAAATAGTATGCTACTTTCCCTTTTCTTAATTGCATGAAAATTCTGGAAAATCAAATGACTAATTTTGTTGCACTTTACATTTTGCATGATGCATGCATGCAGTATTCACTTTCTTCTCTTCCTTTCTCTCTTTTTTCAACAATGGATTTTCTGGAAAATTTGCGGGAAAAAATTCACAATGAATTGTGCGATATAATATCGCACAATTCATATCTGATAGGACGATATAATATCGTTCTATCAGATATAATCCAATATTTTTAATCAATTTTTGCCCAGTAAAAACTTAACTGAGCTTTTTATGTGACGAAAAGTGCGAGAGATTTGATACTAAATGGATTTATTATGCGATCTGTTAATGCAAACGTTTTTCTACCAACCTTTTACCTTTTACCTTTAACCTTTTGCCTTTTACCGATATCATTAATATCATTGCTGTGAGAATGTTCAGTGCTTCGGCTTCACTGATATACATTGAACTTTTTTGGAAACTTTGATAATTTTAATTTTCGTTTTGATTTTGGGAAGTAAATTTTCTATTTAACGTGAAAGGAAAAGCAAAAGAATTCCTTCGGAAGTATAACATTTGCTTTTTTATTAAATTCTTATTATTTATTCAAAATAGTATAAAATGCGTGAGTAACATGATTCTCAAGCTTAGGATACTCATTCACTTACTCACCGATTCACTCATTTATTAAATTCAATTCAATGTGCCTATCTGAGATATAATCACCAACGTTTAATGCACTTGTTGGTTGACATTTTTACTAACATTTGAACTGATATTCCACCCAATGATTCAGTGAAAACGTGTGTGTTTTTGAAGTGATGAATTATGCAAAATTCAAACAGTCAGCTGTTCGGTATAATTATCCTTCTGTGGCTATTAATTTTAATAACAACACATTGTCACCCAAATATGGATGAAAATTTTGTCGCCGATATTTTACCTATGGACATTTTTGTCGAGTCCACAAAATGTTAGAGCAATTTAATCTTTTATTTCTATATATTCTACTCAGATTTTTATTTCGTTTCTTGTAATGTTTGATTACAAACAGATCAAGTTTGTGTAAAATCTTTGGATGGTGGCAGTGATGTAATTAGGAATGTAAGAAATGGAGCCATATGATGACCATTGACCTTTTCAAATGAGCTACCAGTCGTATCTTTACCATCAGTCATGAAGTGAGATCTATTTATTACATTTGTTTTTCAAGAAATAATTGAGCAATACCAGAAGTTAAACAAAATGTATTTCTGGAAAGCCTTCGACAAAACGAAAAAGTTATCGTATATTGACCAGCTAAACTTATGCAGTTTATAGTCAAATTATTAGCTTAGTCAGTGGAGTAATCAATAAATGATTTAAAAAACATGAATTATACACCTGTCTTGTTCAATTCGGAAAATACTGTAGCCTGGATGTATCATAACAGCCCGGTATTTACTGAAATATTATTGCAAATGATTTTAGCAAAAGAGGTCTATCGTGAAATAAAAGGAAAGGATGACATAGAAATGTCAATGGCCATATCTGAAATAACCGATTCAATTAACTACAGGAAATCGTCAAATTTGACCATTTCTGGAAACAATAGCTCCGAAATTCAAAATAGTGAGCTCTATTTTTCGTCATATTAACAACAGAAACATAATCCCAAAGGTAGTAGCATTCATTAACGATAATTTTTGAAACAAATATTCCTCAATTAAGGGCAATTGAGAATAAATGTATAACGGGGAAAAGGTGGAAAAAAAGTGTTGTATGGTACAAAGTTCCGGGTACTGTATGAATAGACTTACTGTATGGTACAGAATACTATATAGATAAACTATCACCACCGTTATCAGTAATACTAACTAAAATCTGCTTGGTTAATAAGATAGCAGAGATTTTACAAGAGTCTTAGGACACTTTATAACAGTTTTACACCATAAAATCCGAATAAATCACACGAGCATAATGAAAAATGCAGAAAATTTAGTGACAAGTAGAAAGAGGCTCTCTTTCTCATTTTCTGTTATCTCTGGACCACTTCAGTATTTTTGCATTCCGGATGAAATAATACATGAATATATAAATTACGATTTGAGCAGTTGGAAAACCCAATATTAAGGTTTTCTTTTTCTAACTTTTCATAGAATTCAAAACAGTTTTTTTTTTTTAATTATAGAAATGATTTATAATGGAAGAGGTGAAATTTAGAGTGAGCCAAAATTCAGTTTAAATTTGCTAAATCCATATCATAGATCTGTCATATTTGAAAGAGATTTTTTTGCACTTTTTTATTTTATCAAATTACAAAATATTGCATACATTTCAAACGATTAATTTCCATTTCAATGATAAATGAAAAGTCATTGTTTAAAAGGAAGGAAAAAGAAAACAACAAAAAGCAATGGAATGAAAAACTAAATTCAAGAAAAGATCAAATGAAATCAATAAAGTCATAGGAAAGTCAATATCAATCACAAAATTTTTAAATCAGCTTAGCTTGAGTTTGACATTTCAATTTCTTTCTTAATGATAAGGTAATCAGGAACACGATGAATATTAATTTCGTATATACTGTATATACTATGATAGTATATATTATGATAGATTTGGTGATGATTTTAATGTCATCCAATTCATCAGATGATGTAATTGCGTTTTACGAATCGCGACGTATCTCAAATTACATGGACGATATGCCAACCACAATACTAATTGCTATTAGTGGTATTGCTGTTATGACTGCATTTGGCATTGGTATTAATTAAAATTAATAATTTCAAACATATTTTTTCAAATACTCCTTAAATTCGCTAGCAATAAAGCATTAACCATTGATAATTAGTATTCAAAAATGATTCCCATATCGTATTCTTTATTTCGAAGAAATGTTCAGATTTATCTTCTAAAATGAAGCTTTCTCCCCTTTACATTAACAGTGACTGCATTTGGCATTGATACTAATAAAATTAATAATTTCAAAATCAGCAATGGCATCAGCTTTATATCGTCGTCGAAGGAAGCTTTGCGTATCATCAAAAGTTTACCGACAAGCAAAAAGCTCATTTTTTGCAACAGAAACAGAATCTCATACTTGGGATAATCTGTCATTTAGTTGTTCTGCTGCTGATTTTTCAATGTCAAAAATGCAAGTGAGTTCAGCATTCCACTGTTATTTTAATCATTTAATTTTTAAGTGAAATTGTCATTTCAGTTTTACAGGTATATTGAAATTAGTTTGATTGAATCCAGATTTTCGGAACACCTTTTTTTTTAATAAAAGCACAATTTAAAATTCAGAATAGAAATTGAGATTTGGATATAAAGTTAAAAAAAAAAACCACTGATAACATAATGGAGCAGACAAGATAAACGGGAAAATCTACCAAAAAGAACCAATATGATCGAGCAATTTATACATCTTATCCTTAGTGCTATCTGTGATATGATAGATCGGATAAGTGGCAGGTTGTTGCAGATCTTCCAGTAGTACGAAATATGACAAATGCTAATGATTATATTAAAATTACCTAGGAAAACAGATCAATTCAACATGATAACACTAAGAGAGAATACCGTTCAAATTATCCGCCAACAAACTGTCAACTTTAACAACTACAAAACTAAGCCCGGAATGTATTCATATCATTTCTTATATATTTTAATATGTTGCAAATATTTCAGTTTCAATCACTGGAATCATTGTCTGATGATTCATATATCAATAGTCTGGATGAAGCAATCAGTTATAAGGCATCAATTGTGCACAAGAAATCAATAAAGGATGCGTCACCAAAATCGGTCGCTAATACAACTATTTCAGAGCTTTCTGTTCACGCTAGTGACCGTTGAAATAATTCCATTCATTTTCTTTTTCAGTGATTTAAATTTCTTTTTCAGACTTTAAACAGTAGCACTTTTCGTTAAAAAAAAAAAATTTTAATATCAAATTGTGGTATTTAATAATTCTTTTGCATAATCATTCACGGGGAAAAGATATATTTTTATTGTTGCATATATTTGGAGCAAAGCTTCATCTCTCTTTCAGAGAAATGAGGAAAAAAATGTTGTGAAGATAAGTGGTTGAGCCACCTGACTACATCAATTAATTGTAATAATATATTTATGCATTCATAAAGAACTAGTCAAAATTCTGTAGGTATGAGGCGTATATTTATGTCCATTTGAACATGAAATGAATAAGCATGGACAGAAAATAGTAGTCCTGTAGAAGTTCTATCATCGTTTGAAATTGGAAGCAAATAAGTCTAGGAGCATCCCTACAAACATTAGTAATACTATGCCAGCATTTCTTTCTAGTTTGATATTTCGAAAACATTCGAAGGATTTACATATCTGCGCGATGTTCAAAAACTCGGAATAGTGATGCAGATACGAAACACATTCTAGTGTGTTTAATAGTTCTGTAATCTAATTTTTGGTTTCACTAGTGAGATTTTGAATTTTCCATCCAGTAACTCTATAAAGCATTTTTCTGAATAATAATCGTCACAGTTGACAAATAGTAACGAAAATAACTTGTTGTTATCTGGTTTATCCTATCACGATGTTCCACTTCCCATAGATTCCAGATTTTTGATCATGATTGACCCATCCTTGATATCAAAAGAAGAAAAAATCCCTAGATGAACTTCAGCATAACACAGTGTAAAATAAGTTGCTTGGCATCCATCATATTATATTGTCACCTAATTGTAATGAATAAACGATGATGCTGATCGAAGCTGCTGCGACATTAAAGTTATGTGGGGATTTCCTGCAAATTGTTGGCAGTAACAACTCGGAACACGTTGGCTAGTTTATCTAAACTAACAACATTTCGAATTTCACAGATCCGATTCCTAGAAATCACTGTACAGTATTCATACAATGACGTTTGTTTTACTTGACATTCCAGACCGCTTTGCACTTAAATAATTCTGAACACAATTAAACTAAGTATATTCATATACGCTGCCAAAGAATGCTTAAAGAGGTATTCTTCATTCCTTGTCAATGACGTCCTTTTAACTGAAAACTGGGAAGCAATCCAGAAGTGTTCGCCCGCGTTTTCTTTTCTTCCTCTATTTCATCCAGATATGGCTTAAGGTACCACGTTTCCTGAAAATTGGTAAACTAGCAACTATGAGTAAATGCATTAAGCAAATGAATGTACACCAAAAAAATATACCGATTCAACAGGTTTCCACTCAAACTGAGACAGCTAAGACAGATGTCATGAAAATGGAAAGAGTGCAATATGAAGTGATAGAATCCGCCGTTTACTACCAAATAACAGGGTAAACTTACATCTTCCCATCTCGTCCACTTTTCTTTTGGTAGCTGTTCACCATGAGATTTCATCGAATGTGCATGATAGAGTCGTATTTTACGTTCATCAAAAAGCCACGGCTCCTTCAAGTTCAAACGACGTAGTGCCTCCTTCACTTCCGGAGCTGGTTCAAAACACTGATCGTGAAAGAGCAAACCTAAAATTTTCATGAGATTACAACAAATATTCAAAACTCTAACTTAGGCTGACTTCTAAAAAATTTAGTATTTCCTTCCGTCAAAATTCTATATATAGTTGATCTTTTAAAAATAAACGAAGGGTTTTTGATTCTTCCCGATTTAAAACAACAGCTATATGTAATCTGGTTATAACGAGAAAAAACTGAGTGAAGAATTTTGTATCAATAAAGAAAGAAACAGAACCATATCGTCTTCCACTCCAACCATAAGACCATAAATAATACCGCAAAATTTGTGCCAATTTCCCTGTAAAAAACAGCATCTGTTTAGTATTTTCCACTATCAACATTCTATATATTGTTGATGTGCATAAAATGTAAATAAATTATTACAAGTTAGTACAAAATAAAGCCTAATTTAGGAAGAGAAAAATCCTCCTGCGAATCAATAAAATGATCACGATGCTATGCATATATATTGGAAATAAACCAACGCAATATAAGTCTGTGTAATTTAAAATTCTTATTGGTGCATCTAACATCGTCCTGAAGTGCAGTTATTTGGAATTTCTAAACTACTCAACAGTAATAAATATGAGAGCAGTGAAATACCGTTGTATGTAAATTTGATGTTTTTGACAGCTGGCGAGACCTTATCCCAGCGAGCTAAGAAAGATGATTGCGACAGGGCGACCTAAAAAAATTTTCAGAGTTTGGTTGAAGAAAAACGTCATATCACGTAACATTTAATCAGTGAAGGAACAGAATAATAGAGTATATATTCCTGGAAGATTGGTGTCAGTTAAGATATACATGCTGAAGAGATGGGATGGCTCTTCGTTGGTCTGACCACCAAATAGATTAAATAATTTAGGATGACCATATCCAAAATTTCTTCCACCAGAGGACTAATTAACCAACACGGTTTAATAGTAATCATATCCAAAATCCTTCTTAATACATCGATGAGTTTGCAGGAAAAACAAATGAAAGCAAATTAAATACTGAAAACTGCATTATAGTGTTGTAAGTCATTATGATAATGATTACTGCCATGAAAATATTGCCATCATACATTATCGGTATTTCGGGACAAACAAACCTACTCAACTACCGCTACCCGCTAACAATGGATATAATCTACAAAAACACTACCTTTGCCAAAAGTGTTGTGCGTACCATCTGTTCGGGTCCTAATTCACACGATAACAATGCTGCAGAACTGTTCCCAGTGTTGATTTATTTTGAGGGAACTGGAAAGATATGCTAATATTGTTGGGAAGAAAAGACGAAGTAAATAAATCTACATATGCCGCGTTTCTTTCTCGATACTCTTGAAATTTTTCTATATAGTGCTTTAATTAAATCTAAGTAAACCACACCAGTCCATAAATTCATCCAAATCTGAATTTTATTCATGTCCTGTACTCATAACTTGTCTTGTACAGACAAGTATCATAAAAACACCCATCTCATTTTGCCCAAATCATGCACAAATAATCCAAAGGCAGTCCAGAAGTGACACATGAAAGTTGTTTGTGTTTCGCAAAAATTTCCCAGAACTCGTTAACTTCACAAAATTTAAACAAATTCATAAAATCTGTTTACTCCTGAATGATATAACAAAACAAAGAACATGCAACCACGACTACAACGCGACCAACGCCTGCATGTAAATAATCATACTAGAAAACGAAACTGGTCCAGCACGCTACAATCCCATTTATGTCACTTTGACTGGATCCACTATGTGTATAAACTTCCCCTCGCTTTTCAAAAATTTGAGAAGTAACAGTTCCAAATCTTAGTAAGTGATAGTAAAGGTAAACATTTACATTTATACTTCTCCATCCCGGGATTCCATCATTTCAATTAAATAAAAAGAAAGAAATAAAGGCCAAGCATTGCTATGCTTAAACTATTCATAACAGTACCATATATACAACAATTCTACAATAAATATCATTTGGGAAGACTGTTGTCTTCTGAATTAACAATGGAAACTGATAACAGCTGAAGCGAGTCTATTAATGTATGTGTCGAAATAGTCAAAACTTAAGGAGAGAGTTTTTGCTGTGGAATTATTCTGTCCCGTTTCCCGGCGCTGTATAAATGATTTACATGAATAATTCAATGATTTAGACGACATTCAGTCTGTTTGACGACGACTTAACTTCCATGCCAAGCGAAATCAAAGATCAAACCTGTCACAATATTGAAGGCGGAAGCTTTTCGGAATGCCTTGCTTTACACTACACGACGTGAAATAAACCGATCAGTATTTCACAATTGGCCGACGTTTGGTGAACTAATTGTATATGTCAGGATTGTGTCCCCTCTAATTGGGACGTATGTTGAGCTTTCGTCTGTTTAGCAGTATAGAAGTTATGCTTCGTTGGTACCATTAATTAACGTTGCACTTCTTTGATACCATAAACATACAGTAACTTTTCGCTTCTTAGTTGTTTTGCTCTATTGCTAGAAAATTTCTTTATTGGAAGTGCTTTTACCTTTTCAGTTTCTAATTTAATTCTTCCATTGTGACGAAAAATGTCGAAAAAAGACCGCCGCCGGGTATTTTTCGATGTAACAATTGATGGCAACCTTGCGGGTCGCATTGTAATTGAATTGTATAATGACATAGCACCACGGACGTGTAATAATTTCCTGATGCTTTGTACTGGTATGGCTGGTACTGGTAAAATTAGTGGCAAACCTTTGCACTATAAAGGATCAACATTTCATCGTGTCATCAAGAATTTCATGATTCAGGTTAAAATTTGTGCATAATATGACTAAAGTTGGTGCATGGACAGTTGCTATTGTTTTATGCATTTACCAAACAGCAGAACAATGTACGATGTCGTAATAAATTAGGAATATTCTGTTGAGAAAGATGAAAGATGTGATGAAAGGAATTTAATATTTAAACAAATGGATGCAACTTTTTTTTCCTCCAGGGAGGTGATTTTACGAAAGGTGACGGTACCGGTGGGGAATCAATTTATGGTGGTATGTTTGATGATGAGGAATTCGTCATGAAGCATGATGAACCGTTCCTTGTGTCAATGGCGAATAAAGGACCTAATACGAATGGCTCACAATTTTTCATTACTACAACACCTGCGCCACATCTCAATAATATCCATGTGGTATTTGGTAAGGTGAGTAACTGAAGGCGTACAGGATTGCACTGAACGATCATTCTGTTTATTTGCTATTTTCACATACGTCGCTGTACACAGACGTAAATATCATGTGATTTTTAGAAACCAGTGAGATTTTTTGGCATTCAACACAAAATAAATAATAAGATCTCCGTAGTTCCAATGTTTCTAATCTTGTTTTCATCCTATTTTTTGCAACTTTAATTGCTGTGACTTGCTATGACTTACTACTAGAGCATAGGAAAATTGTTTATCCTTCCTTTTTTATTTGAAATCGACAGATGAAACAATTTGGAATAAATTTTAGACGACATTTTTAGGTTGTTTCTGGACAAGAAGTTGTAACTAAAATCGAATATTTGAAAACTAATTCCAAGAATCGCCCACTAGCTGATGTTGTAATACTTAATTGTGGTGAACTTGTTCGACGGAAAAAGCGACAGCATTCTTCTAGATCAAGTGAATCGGTCAGGTAATGAAAGATCCATGTTTAGATAAAGTATATTCAACTGCTTATACATATTTATTTCTTAGTGGACTTTTATTTTCTGCTGAATTTAATATGTCTTTGAATTTGAACTGGAATGTGTTTCTTAATTTATTTATTTTTGAAGTTTCTTTTTTTTTCATTCCTGATACAACACATGGATTTGATTTGTAGTTCTTCTGCATCAGCTGAAAAAAGTCACAAGAAGACAAAAAAGGCAAAAATGAAAGAAAAGAAACGGAAAGAGAGTGATGAGGTGGAACATTTGGAAATTGGCACTGTTCCGGAAGCAGAACTTCAGCTATCAAGTGTAAAGCCAGAAGATCTGCCTGAAGAACCGGAACACCAAAATAAGTATCTTATGAGACGGTGAATGCTCACGCATTATTTGAAAAAGAAGTTTTTAGTTTTTTTTAGTATGACGGAAAATTACTTTATTTTGGTTTTTTTTTAGATCAAAAACACCGGAAAGTTCGAAAAAAGAAAAGAAAGAAAAACCACGGCAATCACCTCAGCGTTTTTCGCGTCGCGATATTGGTCAGCGTTTGAATCGTATGCGGAGAACACGAACTGGACACAAAATAAAGGTATCGTCACTCCATATTCAGTAACATTGTTCAGATGGTTCTTATTTAGTTGGTTTGCTTGAAATTTTACTTTTCTCTTCCTATGAGTTTTATATATCATGTTAAAGTTATTCCTCTTTATTTACCGGAACAGGTTACTTACTTTTAAATCTTCATGCTTATAAAAACTTTTGCAGTTTTCGCGAACGTCGAGCTTGAATTTTTTTGTTTTATAACTATAACCTGAGAAATTACAATCGTTCAGGGGCGCGGTGCACTTCGATTTCGAACTCCAGAGGGCAGTAGTGACCACGATGGAAGTCGTACTCCTCCTCATTGGAGACGTGAACAGGTTATTTTAGGATTTTATAACATCTTGTTCAGCGTAAATTATTTCTTTACAGTGGCGAAGAAATGTTTGAGTCAATTTTTGGAATTATACTTTTAACCATTGTTTGATGGTAATCTTCTGTGAAACGCTATAATTTTGAATTTTAAATCTCACTTCACATTCCGTAAGCTGTGGAATACATTTTGCCATACTGGAATGCTTTATGTTCAGCATTAATATGAAAGGACAATAGTTAATCAGCATTAATGTGGAAGTGCAATAATGAAATTTCTAGTAAACAGTTTTTGTAGGCGGTTTTTTTTCATGTTTAGAATCGTGTAATAACACTTGACGAATTACATCGCATGCAAGAGAAAAGGAAGGCGTATGAGCTTGAAGACCTTGAGAATCCGAAAAATGATGTCGATAAAGGAAAAGCTGATGTTTCATTAAATACATCGGAGAAAACTGAAAACAAGGAAGAAAGGTATCGCGGTAGATCCGAAAGGAAGGAAAATCGGCGTGAGCGAAGTAGGCACACAGGGGTAAACTTTGAAATTTAGCATTGATTTCATTTGTTCAAAAATTTTGAGAGAATAAGCTTTGTATGCTAAAATACTTAGCTTGAATTGTCACTGGTGCTTGAAAAATTTTTTAACGGGAATAAAATTTTGTAACAAGACGAGTAAGCAGTGTAAATTAGAAATATTTGTTTCATGGAACGAGTTCTGACCGACTGCCTTTTTTAGCGACGGTCACCAGAATATATAGCACAACATTTCACAAAGGAAAAGGCTCACCATAAAATTGATGAGACTGGGGATAATGAAGATGTGAAACGGACGAGAAAGGATCGACGAGGACGAGCAGTTGAAAAAGAGGAAGTCGAGGCTGTAAGTTCTGGAGTTTTTTAAAATTAATGTTACTAAATTGTGAAGTTCATGGGGTTTTAATATTGAAGGAAATTCCGTTGCTTAGGTTGTCGCAACTGAAGAGTGGGGATGAGCTATTGGGCTGAAAAAGAGGAAAACAAGAGAGCACGTCCCGTCTGATGTAAGCCTGGTAAGTGATGACTTGAATCTAAGTTGTTCACTTTGAAAAAATAAACTAAATTTAGAATGGTGAAAAAACTGATGCAGTAGATGAATTAAATTTGGATGAGCCAACAGTGGAAGTTACATTGGACAGTGCTGAAGATATTAGAGACAGCGATGATGAAGCCATCAGGATCCATTTATTGAAGGCAAAAGAAAGGGCAGAAGAGAAAGCGAAACATGGTGGGCTTACTTATTCAATATTCATTCACAAATGAGGGGCAGAAATGAAACTACTTAAAAAAAGACGGAACTAAAAACTATATATGTATATATATATATATATATATAAAGATAGTTTCACTTGATTGCTTCAATTTAAAAGGCCTGATTATCTAGTTGTGTTTTCCTGTCGGCACTTCTTTTACTTATACTGAGGTTGAATAGTATTTGTTTTTCTTTTCATTGATTGTGTGGGAAGAAAGGGTAAACTAAAGGACAATTAAACTTGATTTTTGTTTTTTTACAGAATCGAAGATGAGTGAAAAGATTGGTGATAATGAAGACCGCAATCGAAAAACGATTCCTGGCGAAAAACAGAAGGACAGTATTGAAAAAGGTGAACATCATCGAGAGCATAAAAATGATGAACGTGAAAAGCGAGATGGTGACGGACAAGATAGAAACCAAATTACAGAAGCCGATACAGGAAGTAAACGACATCGACGAGCAAGCGGTAACAAGGATCACAAGGGAACAGCAGAGCGAAAGCATAGGAGCCGAAGCGTCGAAGAAAATAGAAGACGGAGTGCTAGTCACGAGAAACTCAACGATTTAAAGCGAAATGAAACTTCAGGCCAAAAAAGTCAAATTGACAGTGAACGAACTGCAGAAACAAAAGCAAATCAGACCGATTCCAACAGGAATGATAATTCGAGGAAGTCAATGAACGGAAAGTTGCAGGAAGTTAGTTCAACTAATAAGGCGAATGAAGAAATTTCAAAGGAGAAAAGTTTGAAAACGGAGCCGACAAAACCAGAAGAAATCGAACAGCAGACAAACGAAGTTTCCAGAAAACGAAGAAGTGGCGAAAAGCCGAAAGAACTGAAACGGAGTGAAAGAAGTCGCAGTCGAAGACACCGAAGCAGGAGTAGTATTCGTAGGCGACGAAGTTCGAGCCGTCGTTCAAGATCACGTGATCGCCGCCCTAAGTAACCTTTTCCTATGCCCCATTAGTTAATTTGAATAAATTCTTCAGAATATAAAAGCAGAAATTGTATTTCAATGAATCGGAGGTTGATGATTTAAGGTCACGATCTCGATCGAGAGGTTATGCGCGTCGGTTTGAAGGGTGGTCTCGCACTCGCCGGCCAACTAGACGAGAATTGTACGATGAGCGCATGCGTCGGGAGCGTGAACGACGTCGAAGCTATGACAGGTATTCGGACAGAAGACGCACAAGAAGTCGAAGTGCTCGACGGGATAGTGATCGGGTTTGGTTTTTTATTTATCATGAGGAAAATGGAATTTGGTTTCTGTTTTACAAATAATTCATAATGTCTTATGATTAGGAGTTATTCTTGTACAAATCAAGATTATGTCTGGGGTATGCATCATCCATTTTTTCAAAATGTTCGGTTTCCTCATATAGTTATGGATCTTATCTAGTAACTGCTGTCAGTAAGGGCAGAATTATTTCAGTGCTGTAGAGATATATCTCAACATACTAAAATACTAATTTTGTGGCACCTCCAGCTATATTATGCAAGTAGAGTAGATATCAACTAAGATGAATAAATTCATCCATCATATTCTTGGATCCTATAAATCACAATTTCAGTACTCGAGGCGTAGCCGAAAACGTTCACCATCTTCTTCAAGTAGTAGCAGTGAAAGTTCATCAAGCGGTTCCCGGAGCACTACAAGTAGCAGGTTAAATTTTTGCTCGCTCCTTAGAATTAAAAANAAAAACTAATAGTACGAATGATTAGCGAGTAGTAGAGGAAGTAGTGGAACAGAATCTCTTCAGAAGAAAAGGATTAGAAGTGGGCAATGAATAAAATATAAGTGACGAAAGAGTGCGAACAACTATCAGGGAAACGTTAAAAATTAGAAAGACATGCTTTT